CTGAGCCAAAGTTGGACACTCAACCTACTGAGCCACCCAGTTGCTTCTTGAGCCAATTCTTGAAACAGGTGTTGGAGATAAACTATTGAATTGGAAATTGGAGCACTAATAAATGAAATGACTTAACATATGGGATTTTAAAAAAGTTGGGCAAGTCATAAACAGAAAACAGCATGGAATCTCCTTCCTTCCCTATATTTCTTCTCCTTTTTTCTACAAGAATGTTTTTCTAATCTTGTATGTGTCAGGCTTTGTGATTAATGTCAGAGCTGTACTGCCCCTCCTCTCAAAGAGTTCTCAGTAAAGAGGGAGATTCAGGCATAAATGAGTTAAGACATAAGCGTTAAGAATAAGGAGGATGCAAGTACTGTGATAGCAAGGTGAGTGGAAATAACTAATTTACTTTGCATGCTGTGGCACTAGGAAGACTTTACATATTGGCTGTATTTTGAGCTGGGTCTTTAAAAATGTGTCTGCCATACAGAGAGAATAGAAAAGTCCTACCAGCATGAGAGTATAAGGTAAATATAGAGAGTAGCTTATCATGTATATGATGGGTTGGGGTGTGAGTTTGCAAAGATGCGCTAGAGCCAAACAATTAGAAAATTTGTGCTTGGGGAGCTTACCTTTTATGTTAAAGTGGGTAGGAGTCATGAAATGTTTTTAAGAAATACAGTGGCTTAATCATATTTGTTTTTGTAAAGCTATCTTGTGGAATTCAGAAGGGTGGATTGGATTTGGAAGAAACTAAAGACAGGGAAACTAGTTGGGAGACCATGTTGTAGGTCAGGCGATTAATGATGAATCAGGCAGGACAGAGGGATTAAGATGTGAGACATATACAAGGTAGAGTGAATCAACAACTGAGGATAGAAAAGAAGGGATCATGGGTGGGGTGCTTGGATGGCTCAGTCAGCTGAGCGACTGGCTCTGTATTTCGGCTCAGGTCATGGTCTCACAGTTTGTGAGATGGAGCCCTGCATTGGGATTCTCTCTCTCTCTCTCTGTCTCTCACAAAATCAATAAATATTTAAAAAATAAGGGATCATGGGTGACTTTACTATTTCTAATGTATGTGATGGGATGCATGGTGGTTTCATTAAGAAGGAAAGAAAATGCAGAAGTAAAGGCAGAAGAAAAATTGAGTTTTGTGTCTTATAAATTGAGGAGGAATTATCCATTCATCAGCTGTAACTATAGATCTGAAGATGAGGAGAAGGCTGAGGGCTAGAGATTTGATTGGCAAGTCATTAAGATTTATTCGATATCAGTTAAGCCGAGAACTAGCTCTATACCCAACTGGTGTGTTTTAGGGAGACTGAAGTATTGAATGAGTATTAGGCTGTGGTAACTTGTGAGGCCCCTCTGGGCCTTTGAGTAAATATTAAGAGGAAGGAGTGGTTGAAGAATATGGGATAACCAGGAGATGCAGTGCTAGTGAAGTAGAGCTGGAATACCAACTCTGACCATTTGGTTCCTAAACTTGCCTTATTTCTTTTTTTTTTTTTTTTTTTTAATTTTTATTTTTTTATTTTTTTTTTTTTTGCCCCTGTAAATGTATCTTTATTTTTTTTTTTATTTATATATGAAATTTATTGTCAAA